TTGTACTAGGAGAATGAATGATTGTATCCTATTTTGTTTATACGAGGAAATTTTATTTGCATGGAGTTTATTTATGTATTTTATAAACTTCAATAACCTATCTGGCTAATACATTAATGATTATTTCCATTAATATTTAAAAGTATTTTTAGTTATAAAAGTAAAATTTAAAAGCAAAATAAGATGCAGTCAGTGAGTTAAATATTTTGAGTTGATGCATGAGAGAGAGAGAACATCCCCAAACAAATTTGTTTAGCTCCATTTACCTTAGTTATGCTTCTATAACTATTCTACTATTTACTACTTCCTTAACTAAATCTCTCCATGTTTAAACAAAGGCTTGTGTTTTCCAAAAGCAGCTTTCTTTCTCCTTTCAGCCCTATAATGTCAAGGGGACAATACCCTATCATTTACAAGATAAAGCATGCCAATAATAAACCTAGCGATCAGACACAAACGTCTGACATAGAAAGAGGGTAAAATTTTAAGTGGCATGAAGTGAAATTAAATAATCCTAATGTATCTTTAGCAAGTCTCCACTAAAATCACTATAAGAAATGTTGAGCCAATAATTTTGGTACCAACATTTAAGAAAAAATTACTTTCCTTTTTCTCTTTATTTTAACACCTTTAATAAAGCCAATGCTATTTGCTCATGAGCAAATCTATTTTTAATTAACTTGCGTTTGCTTTTAAGCAAGATGCATATGAAATTATTTTCTAGAAAAAAACATTTTCCAAATTATAATCAATCACACCCATATTTGGATTAATCAGTTTCTACTGTAAGTTATTTTGATTATTTTACTCTTGTTATCTGACCTGAGCAATCTGGACAAAATATCCTCTAACTTGGCCAAATTTTAGTCAGTCTTCTTCTTCTCCACAGGTTGTTGGATCTTGACTCACCCTTGAATTTAAGAAAGTATTAGAATTAAGAACACCCCCTCTTCAATGGGCACTCCTAAAAATTGCTCCTCAGGGAAAAATATTACTAGATCAACTATGAGATCATGCCATCTGTTCATCCTATTCCCACACCATTCCTTTTTAGCCTACTTTACTCCTTCCCATACGAACAAGAGTCTTTTCTGCCTAACCTTTGAGATAAGCATAGACATTTCCCTAGGAATGTCCTCCCTATTACAACAGTCACTTTCCTCCTATTGCAATAATCTATCTGAGTCAAGTAACTCCTTACCTACATTCAGATCTGTTGTTTATTTGACAGTCCCTAAGGTATTTGTTAGGCAATTCCATGCCACAATCCAGAAAATGATGCACTGGTATGTCAGAAAAATAAATACATACTTCGACATCTAATTTTTTTTTTTAAGTTACCATGTGCCAGGTTCTTAACATAAACTGTTTCTATAGGACTGTCTATAACTTTAAGATGTATACATATTTATTAGCCCTTTTTTATCGATGAAAACACTAATAGGTTTAGCACCCAGTTAAATGGGTATTCTAACACTGTGTGCTCAACCACTACATTATCCTTCCTCCTAACTTCCCCCAGATAATCAGTTCATTCTTTGTTTTCCTCCAGTTGTGTTATCAGGAGAAATATATTGCCACGCTTGTAATGGGATTCTGCTAAAATTGTTTTAATTTTGAATTTGAAAGTTGAACTTTTAATTCTGTTGTAAAAGTTGTAGCGTTTTATTTCACCTTACATACTCCATGTAAAACTCCAAAGTAGTATGCAGATTAAGCAAATCTATAGGTATATTTATGCAAAAATATAATGCAAATGTGCCTACCTAGTGTTTTCACAAACATCTGGTAGCTTTAAGATAGAAATGATGGTATTAAGAGCCTGCTCATTTGCTGTGGTTTATCCGTGGGTACCATGCCAATTGAGGAACATTAACGTAATAATTCCAAGTTTGGAGTTATCGTTGCAATTTTTTATCCTTCTATAAAGTTTTCTTAGGTTAAAAAATTCAGAAAAGTAAGTAAATAATATAATAATGTAGATACCAAATGATTAGATTAGAATTATCAATCTAGGGGCGCCTGAGTGGCTCAGTCGGTTAAGTGGCTGCCTTCAGCTCGGGTCATGATCCCAGGGTCCTGGGATCGAGCCCCGCATCGGGCTCCCTGCTCGGCAGAGAGCCTGCTTCTCCTTCTCCCTCTGTCTGCCGCTCTGCCTACTTGCGTTTTCTCTCTATCTCTGTTAAATAAATAAATAAAAATCTTTAAAAAAAAAAAAAAGAATTATCAATATAATTTTTTAATGGTTCAGACCCTTTAAAACAAAGAAAAAAAAAAACATTACAGGTAAAACAGAGGTTGGTTTGTTTGTGTTTTCTCTCATCAGTTCACCTCCCTTCTATCCGGACACATTTTGATTTTCATAAATTTATTCCTTTTTTTGTTTCTTCAATTTTTAAAAACATAGTTATGTTTGCATAAGTAACACATGCCATTTCTTTGTATACTTTTAAAAATTGCATTTAAGCTTTTTACTGTAACTGGCTTTTTCCACTTACATTGTGTTTTGGTAATCTAGCCACATTAAAACATATAAATTTGAGAATTTTGAATGCTGTGTGATAGTGTATGGTACACATAAACTTAAAAATAATTACAGGGGCACCTGGGTGATTCAGTCGGTTAAGTGTCTGATTTCAGTTCAGTTCATGATCTCAGGGTGGTGAGATGGAGACCCACAATGGGTTCTGCACTCAGTGTGGCATCAGCTTAAGATTCTCTTCCTTTCCTTCTACCCCTCTTATCCCTTGTTCATGTGCACATGCTCTCGCACTCTCTCTCAAAAAAATATATATATATATAAATATAAATAAAATTTAAAATTTAAAAAAATTATCCATGAGCACAACAGACACTTTCCCCTAATAGTTTACTATGAAAATCATAGTAGCAATGTAGCAATGAAAATCATTATGCTTATGTTCTGTTACAATTATGCAATACTTTCTCTAATATACTATAGTCCCTCCTTATCTATGGCTTCACTTTCCATGCTTTCAGTTGCCCATGGTCAACCATGGTCCAGAAGCAGATGATCCTCCCTCAGCCATGTTGTCATAGGGTCAATTTTAAGTTAATACCGCATCACTAATGCCTACATCATTCACCTCACTTCATCTCATAAGTAGGCATTTTATCATTTCGCATTATCACAAGAAGGGTGAGTACATTACACTAAGATATTTAGAGAGAAAGAAAGAGACCACATTCACATAACTTTCATTATATATATTTATTATATATTTATTATATATATTTATTATATATATTTTATTATATTGTTATAATTGTTATATTTTATCCTATTTAATTTTTATCTCTTACTGCACCTAATTTATAAATTATACTTTATCATAATTATACACATAAGGAGAACAAAGCAGCATATATAGGGTTTGTTACTATCAGCAGTTTCAAGTATCCATTGGGGCTCTTGGAATATATCCCGTATGGATAAAGGGGAAACTACTGCATTCTTAAAAGGGAATCTGTTAATGAGTTTAATTGTGTCCCTCCAAAATTCATATGTTTAATTCCCCACCCCAAGTACCTCAGAATGTGACCTTATTTGAAGATAGGGTCTTTAGAGACAAATCAAATTAAGATGAGGTCATTAGGGCAGACCCTAATCTGACTGGTGTCTTTATAAAAAGGGGAAATTTGGACACAGACACATGCACCCAGGGAAAGCATCATGCAAAGATGAAGGCAGAGATAGGGATGATGCTTCAACAAGCCAAGAAACATCAGAAAATGCCAGCATACCACCCAAAGCTAGAGAAGAGACATGGAATAGATTCTCCCTCACAGCCCTCCAGAAGAACCAACCTTGTCAACACACTGGTCTTGTTCCAGCCTTAGGAACTGTGAGTCAATAAATTTCTGTTTCTTAAGCTATTTGAAGCACTTGTGCTTTGTTATGGTAGCCCTAGAAAACTAACAGATTGGGTATGTACATTTTTCAACTTTACTAGACTCTACCCAATATCCTTTAAATCAATTTTCACTTCTACTAGTGCTGTTCTTTTTTTCAACTTAACTCACCAAAGAAACCACTAAGCCTGGAGGCTCTCACCTGTTAGACATTCCTAAATGAAAGGATTGGTAATGAAAGGGTGTTTTTCTGTCTCTCTTGCTCTTTCATTTGAGTATTCATACTCAAAAGAGTTAGGAGAGTCATTGTTTTTATTTCCTCATCATGGTCACTGTCTTCTTTTCCTCTGAGTCAGGATTCTAGTAGTATCTTGCTATTTTGTTCAACACTTACAATAATAATTATGTATTATATTGTTACTGTATTAATACTTTTCTAAACACTTCACATGAATTTAATTTCCAAAGTTGCCTACGATGTATCTCCTCTTGCCTCTATTTTGCAGCTGGGAAATTTGAGGCTCAGAATATACTAATACATTCCCAAGATCATATAACAAAAGCAGCAGAATAGGAACCACATTCTTCTGTACTTCAAAGCCAATTCTCTTGACCTTTTACTCCATGAGCCCTTACTGCCTAAAGTAGGTACAGTAAGACCCCCACAAACAAGTCTTATGATCTAATCCCCAGAACATGGGAATGTTAGGTTACATGGCACATGGGAAATTAAGGTGTTTACTAATCAACTGACCCTAAAATAGAGAGATTATTCTGTATTATTTTGGTGGGTCCACTTTAATCACAAGGGCCTTTAACATGCGGTGTTGTTGGCTTTTGAGGATGGAAGCCATGAGGCAAGGAATGAGGATGTTCTCTAGTAGCTGGAAAAGGCATGGAAACAGATTCTTCCCTAGAGAATCTAGAAAAAAAATATAGATAGCCCTGCTAGCCTCCAGAACTGTGAGACAATACGTTTTCGATGGTTAAGCCATTCAGTTTGTGGTACTTTGTTTGTAGCCATAGCAAACTAATGCATTCAATTAGTTACCATCCATATATTTGTGAAAACTTTGAAACTGGATATTATGATTCAAAGAATTTTTTATGAAGTTAGGGAAAAATACCTTAATTGGGTAGTAATACATCTTTCTTCTTGGCCTCCTTCTACCTGTTGAAAATAGATAGAGTTAGAAAATTAAATTAAATTAAATGATTTAAAAGAACATTGATCAGGTCATTTAGAAGGTTCTGAACCAGCAAAACTGTCACAAGCAAAGCTCAGCTATTGTATTACTTCTCTTTTGTTGCCTTAGCAAATTACCTCAAAGTCAGTGGGTTAAGCAACAACAGTTTAGTATCTCACAGTTCTGTAGTCAGTGGAATTGGCTTGCCTGTCCCGGTGTTACAAAGTCCCCGTCTTACAAGGTCTAAGTCAAAGTGTTGGCAGGGCTTGCCTTCCTTTTTGATGGTTCTGGGGAGAAAATAATTTTCCAGGGTAATTCACGGAGCTCGCAGATTGAGCTCCTTGTGGTTGTAGGAATGAGGTCCCTGTTTCTTTGTTGGCTGTCTGCTGGAAACCTTTCTCAAGCTTCCTGGGAGGCCCCTTCCTCCATTTTCAAATCCAGTGATGATGGTCCAGTCCTTCTCATGCTTTGAATCTTCTTTCTGTCTCCCCTTTCTGCTGCGTCTCTCTGACTCATCCCTTCTGCCTTGGTCTCCCACTTTTAAGAACCCATATGATTACTTCAGATCCACTTGGATAAACCAGAATAATCTCCTCATTTTAATGTCAGTAACCTTAATAACATCTGAATATGATATGTAACATATTCACAGGTTTCAGAGATTAGGGTGTGGGGATTTTTTGGTGGGGGCAGCATCATTATGCCCAATGCACCATCATAAATTTGGGTCAGAGTTAAGATATAGTATAACTCCATATTTTACTTATCATGTATGAATATTGAAATACATTGGCACCTCTGATAAAATTAATGTGTATATTACCTAGTGCCCATCTTTATCTTAAATATCACTTGAATTTTTTTACTAGTAGTATAGATCTGCAACTGTTAGATTATTTATTTGATAACATGTTATTGTCATTTCTATTGAATATTTAATTCCAATCTTAGTGAGGACTATTTCAGTGTTTTATCATACTTTTGTAGGAAGTTACAGTGTTCTTTTTTTAAAAAGATTTTATTTTATTTATTTGAGAGAAAGAGAGAGAGAGCACAAGAGGGGATAGGGTCAGAGGGAGAAGCAGACTCTCCGTTGAGCAGGGAGCCCGATGTGGGACTCAATTCCGGGACTCTGGGATCATGACCTGAGCCGAAGGCAGTCGCTTAACCAACTGAGCCACCCAGGCGCCCTACAGTGTTCTTTATAATAGTATACCTTAAGACTGAAATTCACAGAGAAGGCCCATTTCTTTGGCTTAAAAAAACTAATGTAGCTTTAAAATAGTAAAAGGGATTATATGAGTTTAGAGATTGGTTACCCAAGGCTCCCGAGTCTTAGTGCTGAAATAAACACTGAGAAAGGGGTAATTGCCAGCCAAAAGAAAGCAGACTCCTCCAGGGCAGAGAGAACACACTTCCTAGCCAAAAACTGATGGAATCCAGAGAAAAAAAGCGCCATGGAGAAAATGGTATGCTTTTTTTTGGAAATAAACAATTGTTCTGTTTTGTCAGTTTAAATAAATGAATAGATTGAATCTGTTTAAACATAATGTGGTTCCAGTTGCCCAGACAATAGCATACGGAACATTTAATAATACGATGATGTAAATAAGGAAAAGTGGTTCTCACTTGGCCATATGGTTTTATTTTCTGTGAAAATATAATTTTTGCTCAGAGTTATGTTATTCCTTTCAGATTTCAAGACACTGTATTTCCTTTGCTAATGTTATTTAACACTTCTCCAGAATATTTATAGTTGTAAAGGCATTCCAGTGATTTTATTAGAACATTCTGATAATAAATATATCAATGGAAGTGAAGAAGATGTCAAGAAACTGAAAACCTGTGGGTGGGTTTATTCAGAAGTTCCATGAACCTGAGTAGCATAAGTGAGGGGTAGCTAAATGAGTTAGATGATTGTGGCAGATGCCTAAAAGTTGAACAAAGGAGACACACACTGTGCTAACTCATTCTCAGAGTCAAAAAATGTTCTTGCTCCCTCCCATCCTCTACAATTGTTCCTAAATGTGTCCAAAAGATAAGCTAGTATGTAGAAAAGACTTATTATCAGTGATACGAGCAGTGGTTTCATAAGCTCCAATTTGAACTATATTTTGAAAAAAAAATTTATTGGAAAAATTTTTATTGAGATATAACTGGCATATAGCATTGTATAAATTTAAAGTGTACAGTATGTTGATTTGATACATTTCAACTTTCATCCTAATGGTAATGAAGCCCACCTACAACTATACTGCTCCTTGGTATTTTTTCACTTTCCAATGATACACACTGTTTTACTAACTGGCTATGAAAGGATTTATTTTGAAGGCCTCATTGACACAAGGGATTAAATGGAAAAATGCCTTGTTTTCAAAAAGGCAAATAATCTTCAATCCTGGGGTGATGTTAAATTCTCATTCAATAGATTCTTAAAATGGGGGAAACAAACAAAAAGATTATGGATTAAACTATTTTTGTGACCATAAGTGTATGGTCGATTATATGTAACATTTAGGTTTCTTCTGATAGCTTCCAAACTTTATACTATCTAAAACCTACTTCATTTTAATATGGTAAATCTCCATTGTGTTAATGTGGAAAGAAATCTACAAGATATGTTATTAATTTTTAAAAAGTATGCAGAGAATGCTACTAATTGTGAAGGAAAAAAAAGTTTATTTGTGTGGATATAAGCTTTTACATGTAAGCAAATTTCTGAAAGTTTATATAATAATTTGTATCAGTCAGAGTCCAAACAAGAAACAGATGGTACACTCAAATTAAGGTAATTTGAAGAAGGTTTATTTACATAGAAATTAATTACAAAGGTATGGATGGGTATAGAAAACTGAAAGAAAGGGATCATGCAAGATTCTTGGCTATTAGCAGCAGAACTGTTATCACCCCCAAGGCTGAAGGGATTAGGGAAAAGGAAAGCTTCCCAATGCCAGAAAGATTAAGAATCTTAGAGAACACGCTGTCTTTGAAGGGACAATCTAGGTTGGTCTCAATGGAAGGCAGCAAGATAAATAAGGACCCTGAGCTCACTCTCCTTTCTCTCTTCTCTAACTGGGACCCAACAAACCCAACCCAACAAAACCAATCCTGAGATCCTGGGTGTACTGGTTATATGGTTCACATGGGTCAGCTTCTCAGGGCAAGGAAGAGGGAGGAGGAGGGAGAGAGCAGGTCTGGAGAAACAAATGGAAGAAATTTACTACACTACTATTAACTCTGCTGCATTAAGCATCTTGGAGTGTAAATTACTTTTCATCTACATATGTAGTTCTTGCTTACTTATTAAAAATTTCTCATAACAAGAGTTTACCAGTAAAAACATTAACAACAACAGCATGGAGATAACTTCTTTTAGAAAGATCTTCACAATTTGTCTCACCTAAATGTAGTTACTCCATTAAGTCTGGAATTGTACCTAACAGATAAAATATTTTAATTTTTTTAAGGATATATACCATCAAAATAGTTTGGCAATACTTTTACAATTTCTCCAGGGAGAGCAGAGAAATTGATCATGTTAGGACAATCAAATTAGTTTACCAATCTTTTTGTATTATGTGGGCATGTTTCCCTTACGAGTAGTAAGTATGGTGGCTCCCTAATTGGTTATCCCCATTTTATAGAAAAGAAAAATACATCTTACATGCAAAATTGTCAAGCCAGAATCTGAATTCAATTCTGTTGATAACACTAGGATATTAAGAGATTTAAATGAGAGAAACTGGATCTCAAATCCCACCTGTCACATAAACTGCATCTTTTTGGCAAGTCATTTAACTTCCCTAAACCTGATTTTTTAAATAGATACTAAAATTAAAATATTTTCTCATAAAGATTGAAGTGAGAATAAATTAGTACAGTATGTGAGAAAATAATTAATGTAAATTAAGGCATATTGTTTCCTGCACAAAGGAGCTTAGGTTTCTGTCTGTCTGTCTCCCTCCCTTACACACACACACACAGACTCACACATTCATGTGAATTCTCACAGGCTAACCTTAGAGTTGTTATCTGGTAGCTTCTAACTTCCACCAGAGTAGAAGCCGGTTGTATTGGTCTTGCTCATGATGTAGAACCAGTGCAATGCTTTGTGAGGCATGGGGGAGTCATTTGATTTTGTTCATTGGATTGGCTACTAGAGAGATTTTAGCAAATGCCACCAAAACAGTTTGGAAATTCAACTTTTTTTTGTTCTTGTGAAATGTTTGAGACATCAACGTATCTTTCTCTTTGTAATTTTTCCTCTCCTTTCTTCTGTCCTGTGGGTAACAAGCTCTGAGCTGCCTTTTCTTAACTGAGGCATTTTTGACAGGAAGAAAAAGCAGAAGTTGTCTGCACGACACTCTCCTTATTTGGCATTTGTTTCCTAAAACCAAAATCCACTGAAGCAATCAGTCTAGGTTCCCCAGAGGAAAGAGACTGGAAAGAAACATGAACAGAAAGGGAGGATTTCTTTCAAGCAAAAAATAAAATCTGGAAACTGGAGAAAGCAAAGTGGAGTACAGTTCTATGGCTAGCACAAGCGGTGGGGCTTCTTAATCTGATCTGTAGAAAATTCCCAGCAGAGTATTAAGAATTCTAAGTGGAAAAGTATCATGGTTCCCAGCCTCGGCAGAGATTTATGAGTCAGAGATACAGCAGAGCAGAGGGGACTAAAGGAACCATATGAAATGAATCTGTAGGCTTCTTCGAGAAAACAGTGCATTCTGATGATCAAGAAGTAGAGGCAACTATTAGGATTTTTTTGCTGCTGCCTATGGCCAAAGACAAATTTTCTACCTGTCAAATAGAAAGGAGACACGTAGTTCAAATTGGATTGTTTTTAAAAACAATTAGGTTGAAATTAAGATATTTCTTGCCTGTGGAAAGTGAACCTTATTACATACATTTGTATCAAATACAGAGTCTGTGCCTGTGGTTGGAGGACTTTAGGAAGTGAGAGTATACAGGTAAATAAAATATCAGTATAGGCCATGAGCTTTATGCCCTGATGTTCTCTGCAGGGGAGTAGCTAATGGGGAACTCCAGGCTTTTGAGACATTGACCTGTATGGGTACCCTAACAAGGCTACACTAAATTTTAGACATGCCACTCAGGTTTAATTATGTTGTTTGGGTTTTAACTGTGTATTTGTTGAAATTAAATAAAGATCCCTCGTGGGGCCTGGGTGGCAGAGTGGATTAAATGTCTATTCTTGGTTTCAGCTCAGGTCGTGAGATCGAGCCCCATGTCAGGCTCCATGCTCAGTGGAGTCTGCTTGAGAATCTCTCTCCCTCTCTCTCTGCCCCTCCAGTTTGTGCTCTCTCTCTCTCTAAAATAAATAAATAAATCTTTTTTAAAAGGAAAATCTGAAAAGGAATGTTTCCTTAAAGAAAAAAATAGATCCCGCTTGACATTGTTGGATGATTTTCTTCAAATGTACCTTTATATTGTTCCAATGCATTTTTTCTAATGCAGCTTTATTGAGGTACAATTAACATACAATCCATTATACACATTTAAAGGTATAATTGATAAGATTTGACATACAAATGCACCCATGAACCCACCATGGAAATCGGGATAATGAACATATTACTCCCCCAAATTTCCTCATTCCCCTTTGTGATGCCTCCCTTTTGTCCTCCCTGCCCATTTACCATCCTACCAACACCCTCTTTCCCAGGTAACAATTAATCTGCTTTTAGCCAGGATAGATTAGTTTGCATTTTCTAGGATTTTGTATAAATTTGGCTGTACAGTATGTACTCTTTTTTTGTTGGACTTCTTTCACTCACCATAATGATTTTGAAATTTATCCATTTTGTTGTATGTTGCAATAATTAACATTTTATTAAAAATAAAGAGGCTACCAGGGTGCCTGAGTGGCTCAGTAGGTTAAGTGGCTGCCTTCGGCTCAGGTCACAGTCCTGGGATCCCGGGATCGAGCCCCACGTCTGGCTCCCTGCTCAGTGGAGAGAGCCTGCTTCTCCCTCGCCCTCTGTCTACCACTCTGCCTACTTGTGCTCTCTCTCTCTCTGTCAAATAAATAAATAAAATCTTAAAAAAAAAAAAGAGGCTATGAACATTTGTGTGCAAGTCTGTATGTACACATAAGCTTTCCACACTCTTAGAAGTAGAATGGCTACATTTAAGGAACTGCAAAACTTTTCTTCAAAATGGTTGTAACATTTTATATTCCCACCAGATATATATTAGAATTCCATATGCTGATCCTCAGGTTCAGTCATTGAGTATGAGCCTCAATTTTAAAGTCAGCAATTTCAGAAGATAAGAGAAATGCAGTAAGGAAATCATTTACTTGCTGCCCAGTTTTGACTGGGGTCTCAGAGGAAGGAAAAACGAAACAAAACAAAAATCACCTCTTTGTTTCCATAACATCCCCAAATCATGGACAACCCCAAAGGCAAACCCACTATCAGTATAATGGTTTGTCCTGGTAGCTGGCATGCTCAGGTAAGGCCATGGAATTCTGCTCATTGGGAGAATGTAGCTTGAGAATAGTTCATTCTACTTTCAGTTGGGTCACATTGGGTAGTAAGAGCGTCACTATCCTGAAAACTCTCTTTTTCATTTCTGCAGTATGACCCATCCACAAACAAAATTAGATTAGGATTAGTTTAAGGGTGTCTTATAGTTAAGAATGCAATGTCACAAAATGGCATGTTATTGCCTCGCTGTCATGGGGCCAGCCTTCATCGGACAAGGGTCAAACACTGGGATTAAGGACGTTACAACATTTAAGATGTAGATTAGGTGACAAAAGCGGAAGGAACTCTAAGAAAGTTCGTATACTTGCAGAGGAATGTTGAGTCAATTCAGAGTTAAGGCTTTGGACAGAGTGTGTAGTTTGCAAATAAACATTATTTCCTAGTATCAGATCTGCTGGAGGTTTCACTGACTTCGAAGCTACAGCCATAGAGCCTTAAGACAGCTGAAATACACATGAGCAACTGAACGAACTTGTATGCTGTAATAGGCACTCAGCCTATGCTTATTACCATGTTCTTGTGTGAGCATTCCCAGGGCTAAATTATCCCTTTTGTGCACAAACACAGTGAAAGGTTTTGGTTAGGTAAATAGTTAGGTAGAAATTAGGAGCCCATAGGCTGCAATAACCAGTCAAGCCTAGAAATCTACAAAGCTGTTGCTTAGTTGTGGGTCTAGAAAATTCCTGGATTAGTTTCTTTTGGAGACAGCTGAATTCCTTCAGTATTTTGATCATGACCCAGGTAATGACTAGTCTAGAGAAAATTGCGATTTTTTCTTAAAGACGTTGTGTCCCTTTTCAGCTAACTGTTGCAGCAAATAAACAGACTCTTGTATGGGTGCCTCTTTGGTAACTGAGCACAGCAAAAGGTCATCTACATATTGTACAAAAATTGATTTCCCAGGGAACTGGAGGGCACTTAAAATCTCAGTGAAGTACTTGAGGAAAATAAGAAAGGACCTCAATGAACACTGGCGGCATAACTGTCCAGGTATATTGTCAATTGTCCCAAGTAAAGGCAAACAGATTTTGGCTGTTGGGGTCTACAGGGATGCTGAAAAAAGATTGAACAAAGGTCTACACCAGTGAACCATTTTGAGTTTGATGGAACTTGTGACAGAAGAGTGTTTGAGTTTAGAGCAATTGAAAAACAGGAATGACTATTTTGTTTGTTTGTTTAAGATTTTATTTATTTATTTGAGAGAAAGAACATGAGCTGGGGGGAGGCGCAGAGGGAGAGAGAGAAGCAGACTCCCTGCTGAACAGGGAGCCCAATGCGGGGCTCAAGCCCAGGACTCCGAGATCATGACCTGAGCTGAAGGCAGACACTTAACCGACTGAGCCACCCAGGTGCCCCAGGAATGATTATTTTGTTAATAGCTCTCAGGTCCTGGATAAATCTCCATCTCCACCCATTAAGTTTCCTGACTGGCAAGATCTGAGTGTTGCAGGGGCTAAGACTGGGAATGATTGGCCCCTGGGCAATTAAGTCCACCATCATGGGTGTGAAACCTTATATGGCCTCAGGCTTTAGTGGACATGGAGGTAATTTAGGGAGAGGTTTAGTTGCATCTATCTGCATCTTTTGTTTCCACTCTTCACGTTGGGCTCCCTGCTCCATGGGGAGTCTGCTTGAAGATTCTTTCTTTCCCTCTCCTGCCCCCATCTCTCTCTCTTTCTCTAAAATAAATAAATAAATAAATATATATATATATATATATTTTTTTTTAAGGATTTTTTTTTTATTTATTTGACAGAGAGAGACACAGCGAGAGAGGGAAAACAAGCAGGGGAAGTGGGAGAGGAGAAGCAGGCTTCCCGCCGAGCAGGGAGCCCGATGCGGGGCTCGATCCCAGGACCCTGGGATCATGACCTGAGCCGAAGGCAGACGCTTAACGACTGAGCCACCCAGGCACCCCAAAAATAAATAAATAAATATTTTAAAAGAAGTCTCTAAAGTTCTTTAAAAGAACTTTATTAGATACCCCCACTATGGAAACTTTCTTTTTATTTATGTTGCTTTATGAGGGTGAAATTTAAAGCCGAAAGTGTAGCTCTGGTATCAACTAAAATTTGGCAAATTTCCCATTAATTTTAATTTTTGTTTCCCCTTGGCTGTTAAAGGGAATTACTGGTCATAGTTTTCTGGAAGATGAATCCATCTAAAGTGTGAGAACCGCTCAGACTACTGTCAACTATCTTGGGACCCGCGTTTTGATGACAGACCCCTGGGGAGGGTGCAATGCAGGAGGCCCAGGTGTTGTTGTGGGTCTCTGGTCTTGGCACTTTTGTAGCTGGAAAGCTAATACTTGGGCAGATTTTTGTTTTCAATCTTGCTCCAGGGTTCTTTCAAAATGCTCAGCTAAGTCATGAGTTCCATCAGGCCTGTGGACTCCTACCTTATTTATTTATTTATTTTTTGCTTTTTTATCAATCCACTAATCTTAGGAGATAATCCATTTAAAAGAAGGCAGCCAGAGCAGGCTGTGTGATCTTATTTATTGTATGGAACCCTGAATGCCGTAGAAAAAGTGCTTCCAAATGGGATTTAAAGAATGGCACGGATTCATTTTTGTGTGTCTG